AACTATCTCTGGATCTTGAATCAACACTACATTCCCTCGTGAAGTTTGTTGGTAAGATTAACCATAACATAACTATCTTTGGGTCTTGAATAAACACAACATTCCCTCGTGAAGTTTGTTGGGAAAATTAACCATAACATAACTATCTCTGGATCTTGAATCAACACTACATTCCCTCGTGAAGTTTGTTGGTAAGATTAACCATAACATAACTATCTCTGGATCTTGAATCAACACTACATTCCCTCGTGAAGTTTGTTGGTAAGATTAACCATAACATAACTATCTGTTGGTCTTGAATCAACACTACATTCCCTCGTGAAGTTTGTTGGTAAGATTAACCATAACATAACTATCTCTGGGTCTTGAATCAACACTATATTCCTCGTGAAGTTTGTTAGGAAGATTAACCGCGCTTTGATAATGTTTGTCGTGAAACATAACAATAGCATTTTTTTCTTTTTCGAAACAAAACATTAACACAATATTCACAGTAATGTTTGCAAGAGCTAGGAGGGAATCAATCACCTAAAGAATCCTCTGAAAACAACTATAACAATGAATTCAAACTAGCATATTGTGTATTCTTTGAATGTTTAGTTATTTTACTCACATATGCGATAATTATAAACAGCAAATATATACAAGTCTACTTACTACATTATACCTTCCTCAGTGTTAACATATTGTGTTGTAAACCATTAAAAAACTTTTGTTACGTTCATTGCTAGTTCAGTAAAACCTTCTGACTCATTTAGCAAGCTCACAGGCTTTAGTTTGAGCTCTATCCCAGGTTTTCTGATGGTTTGAGTTTTTATTTATTTACTCTTGTTTTTGATAACACGAGAAGCTAGTTTCTACACCTTCACTCAGAGATGTAATCCGCTAGTGGAATGTGCAGATGAAATCACGTGATCTTTATAGCTTTAATGAAATGGCGGCTTTTCGGCATCTAGCCAATCAGCGGGTGATGAATGTGAATGGTTCTGTTTGTTTAAGCTGCTACAGCAGCAGTGAAGCAAGGCTACCAGTCCCGAACGACATTAGATACTGACAGTTATCCTGAGTTATTTTGTTGACTCTTCGTGGAAGAAAAGGAGCTTCAGCGAGTAGTGGAAGACTCTAAAACCGACAGTTTACAGAACTTGAAAGCTCAACATTTCAGACTTTTAGACTTATTCTTTCAGAAACCATTTCTGTAATCACGTATGGGGGCTTTTTGCTCGGAACTAAATCGTAAAGTTTTACATAAAATAGCTAGGGTAATATCGAAAATAACTATAACTAACATACTTTTAGGTTAAAGGATGTGAGAAACTTAACTAATTATCACTACAAATTTAGGTTTAAAAACAAGTTTGAATATCCTCCACTAAAAAACTAAAGCAACAGTTATTGGAGACTATTGTTTATACGCTTTGGTACTCAGTATAGCGACTACAAGTAACTGAACACTGGTCGCCCCAGGGCCGGACAAACGAAGCTCTTCAACAACGATCTTGTTAAGACTGCATCTATCGATCCTTCTTAAGCTTGTGCTTAACCATCATTTGCGTCGCGAATAAAACGCTTGTTAATCACGTTCTCGTCGTTTGTGGTATGAGCGCCTAGGCTGAAAACACGCGCTTGCCACGCGCCTCTCAATTCGAGTGGCTGTCAGACATATGCTGTGGTGAGAGTGACCCACAGAGAAGCACGTCCAAAGGAAAAAGGTTTTCCCTCCAACTATGAATAGACAAGGATGAATCCAGTTACCACGGTCACTTGTTGATGACCACCTTTCACAAAAAAGAACTTCCTTTTAATGTTAATTTAACTTCCTTTTCAAACAAAAATTCCCGATATAGTGAATCGCGATGCTTCAATTTCTATAGAAACCTGCATACAGTGGTGTTATTAAGAATACACATACATAAATGTTACACACGCGCGCGCGCGCTAAGGTTCCAAGTATGCACACCATCCACACAAGTTTTACACACACTCTAAGGCTCTAAGTATATACCATCAACACTAGTGTTTACATGCACACACGTTAATGTTCTAAGTATTCCCCATACACAAAAGTTTTACACGCACGAACGTTAATGTTCTAAGTATGCATCATACACTTGAGTTTTACACGCACGAACGTTAATGTTCTAAGTACGCATCATCCACTTGAGTTTTACACACATACACATTCATGTTCTATGTACGCCCCATCCACACAAGCTTTACATACACACACGTTCATGTTCTACGTACGCCCCATCCACACAAACTTTACATACACACACATGTTAATGTTCTAAGTACGCCCCATCCACATAAATTTTATACACACACGTTTATGTTCTTATTACGCCCCATCCACATAAGTTTTACACAAAAACTCTAATTATAAGTACGCACATCATCTACACAAATTTACAAATGCACACACGTTAATATTTCAAGCACGCACCATTTTACATTCATACACACGCTAATGTTCTAAATACGCATCATTCATACAGGTTATATAATCATCTTAATGTATAAGTATGTACCATCCAGACAAAATCTTAATATTCATACAATTTCTGAAATAGTTGGTATGAACCATCTGCAGAGATTCTTACACACACACTAATGTTATATATATAACACCACTAACACAAAATTCCACATGAGCACATAAATGTTGTCAGTATGCACATACACACTATCCAGGTTACATATAGCTTTTACACACCCACGCTGGCCCCTTCTGTAAACTGTGATCTATGTTGTCTAACAAGCATATACCTCGAACTACTTATTATATATATGCCACTACATCCTGTAATCTGACTTTAGTCTTGTGAAACCCTACTGTGAACTAACGTCTACATTATCTAAACCTTAAACCTCGAAATGCTTTCTCTCATACATTATATAACTGTGAACTAACGTCTACATTATCTAAATCTTAAACCTCGAAATGCTTTCTCTCATACATTATATAACTGTGAACTAACGTCTACATTATCTAAACCTTAAACCTCGAAATGCTTTCTCTCATACATTATATAACTTAACTCCCACTTTGTCCAACCTTTCTGGAACTAAACTACATATTTTCATTCACCTTATCCATGAAATTGCATATTAGGATTACATTTTATAGCCTTATTTCTATTTTAGTAAATCATTTTGTAAACTTGATAGATGCTTATTGCCATTACATTCTAAAACCCGATTTCTGTTTTACCAAACCCATCGTAAACTATCCTCTGTTTTGTATAATAACCTTATACATGAAAATGCTTATCAGTGTTACATTTTAGAATTTGACTTCCAACATGTCAAACTCTTATAAATCAAACTCAGCATATTTATGATTTGGTCGAGTAAATCTGGAGAAGTATAGGAAACCAATAGGCCTAATATTTGTGATACAAATCGCGTTACACTGTAGATGATTTTCTTTTTATTTGGCCATTACAGATTTCAAACCAGAGATATGTAGAAATAACATTTCAGACCCTGTATTTTGTCCCACTGAAGCCACTGCTCAGAAAGCCTTTTGCCTAATACCACAACTCGTGAAATCAGCTGGACTGAGAGGAAAACGTTATCTA